ACTCGATCCCGGGACTCCAGGATCATGACCTGAGCCGAAGGCAGTCGCTTAACCAACTGAGCCACCCAGGCGCCCTGGAAAGAATTTTTTAAAATTGGTTCATACTCTAAAAGAAAAAAATGTGGTTTTTTTTTCAAGCCTTCTGATTTTTTTTTTATTACTCAAAAAAGCTTCATTTTTTTATTTAGCTTTCTGACTCTGTGCTTGGGCTTTCAACACTTTCACAACGATTTTCTGCTCCTCGATAAGGAAAGCACGCTTGATCCTGTCACAAACACTTAGCACACATGGTACCACCATAGGCCCTGCTGACGTGTTTTTTCGTTTTGGGCAACGTCATAAGGACTTTAGGTTATTTTTTTTAAAACGGGTGAGAAACAATGAGAATGGTTACTAAGTTACTTCCTCGTTGTAAAAAGGGCATAGTAAGAGTAGCTGCCTCTTAGGATTTGTAATGAGATTTAATAGAAAATGCAGTCAAAACAGGCAGAATTTGTAAATGGTGCATGTTAAGTTCAGTAATCCTTAGCTGTCACTGGCATCATTTTTAGGATGGGTGGGAGAGGGAAGAAAGGTGCCCCATAATCTTTGCTTTCTTTTGTTTTCAAATTTACATAGCCTTACTACACTTAAGTCCTTAACGTGGGTCTAAGCCTTGGCTGGCACTGTTTCAAGTACAAAAATAATACGTGTAGTCTTTAGTGTTCACTTTTACTTAATTCCCTAGCTTGGGATTTTGCACTTGTTTTGACATGATGGCTATATGATACCAGAAAGTTTTGGAAAATACAGTCTTGAGAAATAACTAAGTAAGCTCGTATGTTCTTGGGACTAGAAGCAGAAAAGAAAAACCGAACGCATGGGAAGAAAATGTATTGGGACTTCCCCAAATCCTTTCTGATTCCTCTGGTTTCATGACTTTATGAAAAGAATATTTTTGAAGTATAGAAAAATCTAGGTTGGATATCAGAAATAAAAGACAGAAGTAAGGGAAGAGTATCCCTGATTCAGGGATAGTTGTAGTCTCCGGAGCAGCATGGAGATAGCTTTACAGCAGTGACCTCTCAGCTTCTGTGGTTGTACGCTCTGCCGGTTTAAAACAAATGTAGGTATGTGCTCTATGTTCGTATGAATCATATACTTGTCTGCTTCCAATCTGTTGTTTGTCTCGTCTTTTTTTTTAGATAAAAAAGTTCTCATTTTCTTCCCAGGGGATTGCCTTATTTCATGTCCCCCAGGACAGGATGTCCACATTTAAAAGATGGTTGATCTGGAATAGAAATTCTCACTTTTTACTCTCTGGATCCTTTTACATTCTTAAAAAATTCTGAGGACCCAAAGAACTTTTTGTTTATGTGGGTTATGTATTCATATGCATGTCGATAGATATGTTAGAAAGTAGAACATTTAGTATAATAAAATCAATATTAACATAAATAACATTTTTATGGAAAAGTAGCTATACTTTCCAAAACAAAAAGAAATTAGTTAAAAGAATGGCATTGTTTTACATTTTTGGAAATCTCTTGAAGTCTGGCTTAATAGGAGACTGCTAGGATTCTCATACCTGCTTCTACATTCAATATGTTGTGGTATGTTGTTTTGGTTAAAGTCTTTGAAGAAAATCCAGTCTCTCACAGTTAATGTAGTTGGAAAAAAGTTATTTTAACAGCGTTTTTAGATCATTGTGAATATACTTTGTGGTAGATTCTATGTTAGTAGTTATTTGCAACATGGAATCTGGTGCCGTATCAGTGAACTTTTTGTATTCTGTGACTTATTTAAAATCAGTTGATTTGTCTGGTATTTTGAACGGATTTTTTACCCATGAATGATTTTGTATTGGTCATTTGGAAAATGTTGGTTAACTGGGCTATGCAGATCTTTCAAATATTATACAATATCAAAAAACAGCGTTAGTTAATAATACTACCCATCTTGTCAGAAGTCTTTAAGTTATTGGGAACCTGTCCTGCTCCTGATGGCAGATAAAAGTTTTCTAAAGTTTTCCCTTGAAAATTTTTATCATTGACACAAAAATGGTCTTGTTTTCCTTAAAGTGACAGGCTCACTTAATACATTTTAGTGAAAATACCTTGATATTCTTCCGTATCTGATTAACTACAGTTTGTCAGGTTTACCTTTGGGCAAAAATGGTGTTCCATGAAAAAAAGGGGCTAGTTCATTTTGCAACCCTCATGCTTTTCTATAAGATGTTGTATTTTGGTATGCAGCAAAAGTGCTTTATGTGTATCTTCCATTGTCACATATTAAAAAGACATGTCGGGACGCCTGGGTGGCTCAGTTGGTTAAGCAACTGCCTTCGGCTCAGGTCATGATCCTCGAGTCCCGCATCCGGCTCCCTGCTCCGCGGGGAGCCTGCTTCTCCCTCTGCCTCTCTCTCTCTCTCTCTTTCTGTCTCTCATGAATAAATAAATAAAAATCTTAAAAAAAAAAAAAGAAAAGACATGTCAGTAAGGTTCCAGATTTAACAAAAATACTACTTCCTCATTAAGGACATTTTTAGGTAAAACTGACTTTTTTAAAACTGAGGGTGTGTGGTGGTGGTGAATACTGTGGCTACTTGTGGAGTCTGATGCCAGTGCCTGATTCGTGCTAAGGCAGCAGCAGTTTTAACACGTTTGTGGGTAGAACAGAGAGCAAACACGGTAAAAAGGAAAGTGGTGTCTTAGTATTATTATGAAAGTAGTTTTGGCCATGCATACCTCTGAAAGGGTCTCAAACATCCCCAAGGGTCTATATCTATACTCTCGGAAGACTGCTACTAGAACAGTTTCATTAGTGGGTTGTAAACTCAATTTCAGTGGGTCAAGACCAGCATTTTTAAAAAATGAAAGGGAATACCGAAGGAAGTTGCACATACGTACTGTAGAAAAAATAATTATTTTGTGAAACCCATCAGAGATGCCACGGGTGTGTACTGAGTTGGGAATGTTGGCTTTGTCACGTGAATTTTTACATTGACTGGCTTAAAATATGTATCTTACAAGTTATACATATAAGTATATAAATATTCATGTGCATTTATTCTGTATGTTCACACAGTAACATGTGAAATGACATTTTTAACTTAAAGTGTTCATCACCGCAGAAATGCAGTATCTGCTGAGGAGTGATTAGACAAGGCATGAGGACCACCTTGGGCCAAAAATAAATAAATAAACCCAAGCAAAATTCCTAGGTGTAATGGTTTTATAAAAAATGTTTTAGGGATGCCTGGGTGGCTCAGTCAGTTAAGCATCATGATCTTTGGGGTCCTGGGATCGAGGGCTGCATCGGAAGTGGGGAGTCTGCTTCTCCCTCTCCCTGCCGCTCCCCCTGCTTGTGCTCGCGCTCTCTCTGGCAAATAAATAAATAAAATATTTTTTTTTAAAGATTTTATTTATTTATTTGAGAGAGAGAGAATGAGAGAGAACACATGAGAGGGGATAGGGTCAGAGGGCAAAGCAGACTCCCTGCCGAGCAGGGAGCCCGATGCGGGACTCGATCCCGGGACTCCAGGATCATGACCTGAGCCGAAGGCAGTCGCTTAACCAACTG